CTATACTCTGTGTACTATGCTCTGTAGACTTGACTCTGCCTGCATAGTACTCTGTGTACTTGATCCTATGTACTTCTCCTCTACAGGGCTTCGCGCGGAAGAACCCTTCGCGATGCTTTCCGGAAAAGGGCATCGTGCTTTGCTGGGACAAGCCGATCACTCAGTTTGTCTTGAAAGGTGGAAGAGCTTCGGCCCGTCTTCGTCAGCAACACGGAAAGGGACAGGGCCGAAAAGAGGCCGGCACTGTCTGATATTGCGACTGTGATGATGCGATGAATAGGCCCTGAGACCCCGAGGGGTCGGTGTGCAGACTCCCCTCACTCGAATGTTTGGATAACATGTGGGGCTTTCCACCCGCCATTTCTCTCGGAGTTTCAGTTTGCTCGCCCTATCTCGCCTTTATGCCTTGGGCATGATGTGACACATAGGGTGCAGTGAGTCGTGTACTGGCCATTTTTTGTTGTTTTTTTTGTTTGCTTTATCGGGTTTAGGATATGCTGTCCATCGCAGCGACTTAGACTCAGGGCTTGCAGTTGATCTCGCAGTTTCGATTTCCGTGCTTGCCGGCCCCGTAAGACCCGCTCCTTTTCGATTCACGGGGTCAGCATGTTGCTCCCTCAAGGCTGGTTTCGGTTTTGCCCATCCCTGCTCATTTTCGAGTTGCCATGGATGTTGTCGGTTGTGGGTGCTAAACGCTCTGGTTCACCTCCGATTTTCAGTTCAGGCTGTCTCAGCTCCAATGGGGTATTGGAGACACAGCAGAGGCGGGCGATTTGACTTGAACCGTCAATATTTTCTCTTGGCTTTGCAGCTTGCTCGCAAATCACCACAATGTGAGGGAAAAGAGATGAAGCAGCGGTGGAAGATGGTGGCCTGACTTCAGGGTGTTCTGTTGCCCCTTGCACGTCATACGCTCCCACATTGAACGGAACGGCCACTGAGGAAAGGTTACGAAGAGCGCCAACACGCCAGTCGAAGGCGACTCTTGCTCGCCGCATCTTCAATCTGATTTGCCGGATCAAGTGTTTTTGGCCACCGGGTAATTACACATCCATTATGTCCCACTGTCGATAACATCTCTTGCTTGCTTTCCGAAGCATCGCAATGCAACTCTGAAAGGACATCTCCATCTCCTTGTCCCCGGGTATGCGGCTCATGCAAGTCTCTCAGCATTGGGGCGAAGGCTGTTGGGGAGATCTCGGATGTGCCAATGCATGTTAAAAATCTCGAGGTTGCGACCGTCTGGGCTGGGAAACTTTCAGCTCTTCTCTCGCCGCAAGGCAAGGGCTCTCCAACCTTGGATTGCGGATCTGGCTTTGCAATGTTTTGCAGATCTTTGCAGCCCTTGCATCTGTGGCGTGCAGGTTGGACCGAACCAGAATCCCAATGAGGCCTAAGATGCAGAAATGACGCCCTCACCTTACCACCCTCCACCGTCGTTGCCTTGCTGTGCAGGTTGCCTTGGGCATCCACAACGACGGAAAGGTCATTGATGTATATAACAACAAGCCAAACCCCCCTTGTCAGCCTGGCTTGTTGAAATGCTTTCGGAGGAGAGTTTCTGGCCGCTGGCCATTCTCGCAAGTATAGTCGCATCTGAGTCCCTGCCAGTTATCAAATTCCAGCCGACCCTTGCGATCGAGCTGAGCGCAAACTGAGCGTCTCCGCGTGGCTGCGTAGCCCAGATGCTCAGAACGTCAATCGCAAGTCGAAGGGTAGAGACTTGTGATGTGAAGACTGTGAAGTGCCCAGGAGAGCACACGAGCGATGCAACTTGTTGCTAGTTTCACTGGCAAGGTCCAGGGTGCAGACTCGTGAAAGCCTAGCATGGTTTCACACAGTGCCACTTACATTCTTTCCAATTTTTGGCTTGTGGAATGCAAAGCAGAATCAAGCAGCCACTCTGGCGAGCCCCAGCATCATCCATTGCAGGTGTTGCCACAGGTGTTGCTCGCACTTCCTGGCCCAAGCCCTCTCGCAGCAAGCTCTGGGCAAGTGCCTTCGCTGCCATGAATGCGGAGGCGTCCGGGTGCACCTGTGAATCCTAACATCATACGTTCTCAACCTTGATCTGCTGGAACCGGAACCGTTCTGGCACTTAGCTGCCCCGATCCTCAGTCGCCTGAGTCGCGGTCGTGAGGACCTGGAAGGCCTCCCCGTGAGCTCCGGGGGCCATGTTCTCAGCTGCGAGGAGATAACCTGCCTCCAGGCGCCGGATTTCCGGCAGCCACACGCCTTCTGAGCCCCTTTTGTCTCAAAAGCCAGGCAGGTCTCACTTTGCTCAAGGCAACTGAGAAGAACCCAGCGCTGCCCTCAACGCAGCCTCTCTGTCCACGATGCCATGCCGTCAGCTGATGGAGCCACCACTTCTCCTCAAGGTGATCCAGTTCTGGGGCAAGATCCTTGGGAAGGACCCGCATGCCAACAAGCGCATTGAAGTTTTGCCGATGTCAGAGCCCACGTTCACGACCATCTGGCATGAGGAGCGGGATTACTTCATAGCGCAGCGCTGACTTGTTGTCGCCCACTTGACTGCTATGATGTCTCACATGGTAGCTTCGGCCCTGGGGGTACGACGCATGTCGCCAGGTGCGAGATTCGGGACATGAAGCCTGCGTATCCAAACAAGCGCTTCTTCTATGCCGGCGAGGATGGGGATGCTGGAACGGGCGGATCATGGCCATGGCCCGTGCAAGTAGCGCAAAGCCTGTCACGGCTTGAAGTGCAGAGGACTTTAAGTTCAAGGCCATGCCGGACCTGTCCGAGGAGGCCGGAAAACTGACCTGCAGGCATGCATGTCGGTCGTCGCTATCCTTGTGACCTTCGCACCATGAAAGCGATTTGTTTGACGAGCGGGTTAGCGACCTAGCGTGTTTAAGTGAGAAATTAGCGAGAGATTAGCGAGAAACTGGCGAGAAATTAGCGAGAGATTAGCGAGACAGACTCATTTACTCCGACAACTAATGGTGTTTGCTTTGTTTCTCTCAAACTTCTTGCAATTCTTTCTCAAAGTTTGACATAGTTGTCTGCAGCCTTACATTGTTCTCTCAAATCTCCCTTCGACATTTTCGCAAAGATTTCGCTAACTAATTATTTTGCAGTTTCCAATCCTTACATTTCAGAGATGATCACAACACTATCCCATGCAGTGCATGCTCGTAGCATTGTCATATCTCAAGACCCGCCCACACTCGTCGTAACTGAGCTTCGTACACAAGACTTAACCTCCCGACTGCCCTAAGATCTCGTTACGTAACGTGAAGACCAGTATCGTTTCCATGATGTCAGACGAAGACTCGGGTAGGCACCTCAAAGTGCTGAAGCCAGGTTGGAGAAGCCGTCTCCATGTTGCAGTTGGCGGTGTGCTCAGCTGTGCTCTCTTCAAGTGAATCTTGTTCAACACAGGTTCTGTCAACTGAGAGTAGCCCTATCGCCTGTTGAAATAGCTGTCTGAGACTCTAGTTCTGATTTTGTTCGCAAAAATAAGACCACTCCGTTGACTGGCGACCCCAGTGCATTGCTGGAATCAGTGGGAGGCCTGCCCTCGCGAGGGTTTCGCTGTCCCTGTTTGATGTTGTTTTTGGGCAGGTGTGGAGCCCAAGGCCCGTCTTGAGAACTGTCAGTCCTGACGGCGTGGCATTTGTTGGCAGTGACAGGCAGGGCCAACACTGACTGAGCTGGACAGGCTCGCGCTGCTAGTCCAGGCCCATGGGTCCAGGATGCAACATTTCATGGTGTCCCTGTACAATTCCATGAGGTCCTAGCGCTTGTCTGGGGTTCGAGCCACGTGGGTCGTCGTCAAAATTAGGGCTCAGATATTTGGAAGCTTGGACATTGGAGGGGAGGAGGCCGTGGCTTTTCGCAATGTCAGTGGAGATCTTCACTGACAGAGCCTGCTGCACTTCCAGATTCTAGATGATGCAAAGTCTTCTACGTCAACTTGAAGTTTGTCCCGACAGGAGATCGACTTTGACACTGCAACAGTGCCTAAAGGCTTGGACAAAGCGCCCCTTTGCTTCGGGCATGGTGGGGGGGACACAGCACGGAAGGCGCCTACTCGCTGAATGAGGCGCAGGCCAGGCCGCGATCAAACGCAGAGAGAGGGAGAGAGAGAGAGGGCGAGGTTTATGGGACGTCGGGCCACTCCGTGTACTAGAGCTGAGCCTTCTGAGTCTCACACAAAGACGCGGACAGTGGCGTAGCGCGTGAGCGCAGGGCACCGGGGTCCTCCCGTGCCCAAACGCCGGGCAAGCAAGCAAGCAAGAGAGAGAGGGCCGTTAAGGTGTCAGTGACGAGTGCTCTGTGCACAGGTGGTTGTTCCGAACAGCGCCTTCCGAGGCCTCGAGCCTGCGAAGGCCAGAACATCCGTGCACCACAGAGCCGCAGAGCTCCGAGTCCTTCCAGGCTACTTTGTTGGAGAACTACGTGCACTTCAGACCCCCGGCAAGCGTCAGCTCTTCAAAGTCGGCAGAAGCCCAGAATGTGCCATCACGAGTAGCAGATCCCTGTGAGGTCGTGAGCCTGAAGGCGCAGGCTTCAAACGATGTCCGGCCCTCGACTTCGACGTGTAGACACGTCCCTGGCGCCTGGAGCTGCCGAGTTGGAGTTCCAGTCCAACTTCTTGGATTCTCTTGCCGACGACTTGCCGAAAGGGTGCTGGGCAGTGCGGCAGGAGACCTGCAAGATCCTGCAAGGCTCTGCAAGGCTCCGCAGCTCTTGAGAGCGGCCCCTGGCCGGAGAAGCCTCCAGGAGCCAGAGAAGAGCGGCTTGGTCACTCTGCGTTCGCTGTCCCCGTCTCAAACTGATTGTGGCAACATGGAGCACGCAACTACTTCATGCCCATGCCACTTATGTCGCATGTTTCGAGGATGTGGCCAGGTTACTCAGCGTTTCACGTGCCTGGCACTGGCAAGCCCTCGCCTTAAATTACTGCGAACACAGCACACGGAGAGTGCAGCGTGGCCTTGCTGCAAGGTTTGGCAGCGTGTACTTCGGCTACGCTTCCAAGATCACTGACTTGGCCTTCCTGCTCTGAGGCAAGGGAGGTGGTACGTTGACATGGTCCCTTGCCAAACATAAGCATAAACTGGCCAGCTCGCTTTTGCGTCCCTTTGGGGAGATTCGCCAAGGATTGTCGTTTTTTCTGTTGTCTGTGTGTGTGTGCTTTTTCTTGCCTGCTTGCCTTCTCTTGCGCTCTCTCTCGCTCTCTCTCTCTCTCTCTCTCTCTCTCGTTCGCTTTTTCTGTCCGTCTGGCCTGACTCACCTTTGAAGCCAGAGAGGAGGAACCGAGAGAGAGAGAGAGAGAGAGCGTGTTACTTCAGAACCGGCACCAACAAGCACCCTTTCTGGAGTGGAGCTCCAACGAGGGGAAATCGTAGAAAGCAGAGTGGAAGACCCAGGTGGAGCACTGAGTGGGGTTTACATAGTGATGGCCTTAGGAGGGGTGTTCTTGCGGGGGGGTATCCAGGAGGGAACGCTTCTGCAGACCCCAACACGGGGAAGTCAAGACGTTGGACGCGAGCCGTTGTGGGGTTGGCCTTCGGGCCGGGGGTTTCGGCCCCAGACCCCTAGCAAGCAAGCAAGCAAACAAGCAAGCAAGCAAGCAAGCAAGCAAGAGAGAAACAGTCAGACTCTTTCTCCGGGGAAGGACCTGCTGCGGGTCAGGCTTCTGTTCGGTATAAAGGCAAATCAGGTTTGTGGGGGTTCACTTCTTGTATATAAGTATATGAGGCAGGCGGGAGCTGTTAGAATTAGCTTGTGTGTCCAGTGGCCATAAGGCCATAAGGAAAAGCTGGGGATTCGGAAAGGAAGAGCGGAAGACCGGAGACTCCGAGAGACGAGAGAACGGGGACCCCGTGGCTCCCCAAGTTCTGCCTCGCAGAGCCAGGGCTGGAGAATTGTGGCGGTTTGTGGTGACCAAGATGTTCCCCCAGAGAGGTTGACTCACCTCCGAAGCGGCCGAAGATCTTGCCAGGGCTGAAGGCAGCAAACCGTCTTCAAGCTATCGCAGCTGCAATGTCTGTGCTGTGCAGCCCGTGTTCGCGCGTCAGGCGCAGGCTCACCCAATGCAACTGGCCTTAAGGGATCGGTGAAGCTCATCGTGCGTGGAGCTGAGGATGTTCTCCATGACTGTGCTTCTCCGGACTGACTTGTCGCTTCTGCTTGATGGGGCATGTGCTGAGGGTGCTCTCGCTTGTTCAAGGTCTCTTTGTTGACTTGGAATTCGACGGCCAGCCGACTTGCACATGACTGATCCTGTGAACAAGGGCAGCAGTTGCAATAATTGCTGTTCAATCGACTGTAAAGCCATAGAAGCGTCGTTGCTTGATGCCACTTGAGTGCGATTTTCCAAGTGCGGATTAACATGTATGGTCCAAGCCCAATAGCGTAGGTAAAGTTGTCAAGGCTGCTTATGCAGATCTAGCGGAGTGGGGTGACCAACATGCACCTGCAACCGTGAATGCGATAGCAGCGTTTCGACAACCGATACCGAAGGAGCCAGGCCAGGGGTAGGCCGGGCTTCAGCTCTTCGCACGACCTTTGATGGAGCCTGCTTAGCTACACACATTGTCGAAGCATTATTGATGAAGCTCAGCATGATGTCCACATCTCGCGGGGACAGACAAAGTACCCTCTGCATTAGAGGGTTGATTGATGCATAATTTCATGCCATGAAGCGTGGCTATGAAGATGTCGGCGCATTTTCAGGCACGGGAACTAGATGCTACTAGTTGAACTTGTTTCGAAGAAATGCCGTTAAACATGGCGAAGGCACGCGCCGGCGTACTGGTGATCAGGGCCTCCCCAGAGCCAAGTTCGGCCTGAAGGCTGGGCGCAGTCGAGCAGCTCTGCGCCAGTATTTCTGGTTTTCGCTGAGAGTGCGAATGAGTGCGAAGGAACGGAAGGGAAGCTCCGAGAAAATATCGGTTATCATTGTCGACTCCTGTTAACGTTATAACTAGTTATAAGTCATAACTAAACAGAGTTATTTTTGGTAAGAATGCTTTTCGGTTATGTTTGCTCGTTTGGTGACAGCAGTGGTACTAGCCATCACAGTCGACGCAAGTAGCAGTAAAGGTAGGTACTAGCAGCTGTGACAGTAGCAGTAGTACTAGTTCTACAAGGAGTCGCTTTATCTCGCTGGGCTTGTTGCATATCGATCGGCGTCCACATCTGAGGGCATATGTGATGTTGTAGTGGGGCGGAATCTTGGCTACATATTCTATTCCCCCGGGTGCATCCCGGGACCAAAGGCTCACCGAAATATCTATATGTTTAAACTGGAATATTAGGGTGGCCGTGAATAACAAGGAGGAAGTGAGAAGTAGAGATAACGGTACGAACACGGAGCAACTCAGTAGTACTAGCGTATCATACTCCTCATAAGCGTTGAAGGCAACAGTTATACTATTATATAAGAATGATAACCGTGACAATGGAAGCAACAAGCGTAAACGCAGAAATAGAACCGACCAGCCTGCCAGCCCCACTGAAGCAAAGCCAGGCCCAGCCGAGCCTCCAGTCGCCCATAGTACGACTGGTTGTGGCACCAATTGCGAGGATCGTCATGGTGGTGGGGGTAAAAGCCAGAAGCAGCAACACAGTCATAATATCAACGAGTCTTTCAGGGTCAGGTGTGCTTCAGAGGAAGAGGGCACGCCGACATACGCCGACGAACCCAGCCGGGCTGAAGCAAGCCAAATCAAACCGCTCCTCCTTCTACCACTGCTGCGCTCCTGCTCCTGCTACAACAACAACAACAACTACTACTACTACTACTACCACTTCCACTACCACT